AATATGGTATCACTTTAATTTATTTCGTTAAAAGTTTCAAATTTTAACGAAGCGTTCATATATGCATTCATATACTTCATTTTAAATTTAGTTTGTACAGAACGTTTGAAGAAAGAAAAACGAAGAGTAAGTCTTTTGAATTGTTAAAATAGTTCTTTATTTAAAATAATTTGATTTTAGATATTAAAACTGTGCTGTTGATTTGAATGTAAAAACTCAATAAACCGCTTGTTTGTAATACTCGTTTATGTTGATATTCTTTCGAACGTTTATTTGCTGCCGCAACAAGAATTAACACCAATAATAAAGTCAGTCTGGAAATCTAACGCAGAATCACTCTTGCCAACAGGCGCTACTCTGGACTGAGTAAGCAATTGAAGAATAAAGTCCTCTCTCAACGAACGAAAACCAAACTCTACAAGTCCCTCATCGTTCCCGTCCTGCTATATGGTGCGGAAGCATGGACGATGGCAGTATCCGATGAGACGGCGGTAGGAGTTTTCAAGGTAAAGCTATACGAGTAATACGGCGAGAGTGATATAGTTCAGCCGATCAAGAAGCAGCGGCTACGCTGGCCAGGTGTGATCCGTATGGAAGCGAATACTCCAGCTTTGAAAGTTTTCGATGCAGTACCCGCCGGTGGAAGCAGAAGAAGAGGAAGACCTCCACTCCATTTGAAAGACCTGGTAGAGATGGACCTGGCTGTACTTGGTATTTCCATTTGGCGCCAAACAGCAAAAAGAAGAAGCAAATGGCGCACAGTTGTAAATAGGCTATAATCGCGGAAGCGGTCTCTACGCCAGTAAAGTTAGTAAGTATAAACACACAATGTAAACGCCCGTAATATTTATATATTATTCTAAAAAAAAATAAGTAAATTTGTAAATCTGCTGCTTTCTGTTTGTAAACAGTACAGATGACGCAGTCAAAAAAATGTTGAGTAATGCTTTGAAAGTTTAATTTAACAGCAACATATTAAAACAGGCATTTGAGAAAACAAAAACGTGTTTAAAGAGAAGTTGAATCTTATCAGACACTCGAGAAAACGGCCTTAAACACAGTTAGTTGCTTAATTGTTATGTTTCGCATTTCATTTTCAAAAAGTTCTTAAATAAATTTTTAATATTCTATAACGAGTAGTTAATTAGTTAAAAAATTTTCTAGCGATACATTTTTAAAAGCGGCATTTAATAGTTTAAACAATCACTAGCTCACAAATTGATTGACACTATTTTTGTGACTTCGGGTTCAGTAAAGGGATAATTTGCTTGGATTCTTGTGACCTGCTAAATTGTAAGTCTCAAATTTATACTTTTTTGTGACACTAGCGACTCAGTGTTGCTTATTGAATTCCAAATAGTGTAAAACTGATACTTTAGAGGCAAAAATATTAATTTGAGACTAGATTCTGTTTATTGCATTATAATAAACTTCCACACATGATTGTCAGTCGCAATCAGGTTGACCCAAAAATAACTTTCTCAACAAAGGAAACGGGCAATACGGCAACTGGATAAATTCTCTATTACTATCTTATTAGAATACCTGCGCTCAAAAGGTTTGCCATTCCAAATTAACTGACAATACGGAAAATGAATGAGTTCTCCGATTAGACTTCCCACGCTCGAAAGATATCGTCAAAATAGTGTATGGCTGCAACTACCCAACTCACTCTCCAGCCGTCCATAACTGACGACGTTAGTAGTGAAATACATACACGAGCTATCGACGCCGCTGAGAGCGGCGAAATGTTGCCAGCTGCCTGTGTGTTTGCACACTTTTGAACAAATTCATAATTTTCGTCAACGAATTTCATAACTTATTTGCTTGAACATAAACACAAGACAAATATACATAATCTATATGGTAACAAATAATTAGTTACGCATTTATTTTTCATTTCTTTTGAACAAAACTACGCATTATTTTCGATTATTTAATGCTACTTTAAGAAAGGCTATACTGGCAACCTTGTATAGCAACGAAAAATGAGCCGAGCCGGTTTTACGGAAAAATCAAAACTTCGTTGGTTTCTGCGACACAAACGTCAGCAACGCTATGGTAAATCGGTGACAACTTTGTGTTTACATGGCGCTCTCATAAGATAGGTTACTATGGACGGCTGGTACGCTCGTTGGGTAGTTGCAGCCTATGTCTGTCTCTTAGAGCTGCCAACTTATGCACGTGAAGCGACTATATTGTCACAAGCCATAACCATACACCGGGATGCATTAAGCAGGATCTGGTCTCAAATCGATCCTGCTAGTGACATTGAGTCACTAGTCCCACAAAAATGTACTAAATTTGAGAGAGATCAGCCGGTTAAAGCGGCAAATGAGAATACAAACCATATTACTGAGCAACAACAACTGTGCACTGTGTTGGTCGTCATCGATCTCTCGATATCAAACTGGAATTTACTCTGTGTGACTTCAGAATTATGTGGTTCACATAATAAAATAATGCCGTTTTGCATAGTTTAGTCTGTAGGTGCTGTTTCTAAATTAGGGAATATTTTTATGTGGCAACACACTTATTCTTTCTCGCGTTGGCAATTCTCTAAAAATTTTTACGGAGTCATTTCCATTATTTCATTGGACACACTCTATATTCAGTTTTAAGTAAATCATAACAAAAATGGATGTGCTCATTCAAGAAAAAGTAAATTCATATTAATACTTAATGTTGATAAAAGTTCTTATTAATATATAATTTTTCAGGAAGATGTACTTGACTTCAAGCTAAAAGATGCTCATAGCTCATTGGATGAGTTGGATATTGATGATTTGTACGTTCGGTACAAGGTAATTTTTCATTAAAAAAAAGATATAAAAGTTAATTGTATTATTTTTAGAAACTGCAAAAAACACTAGAATTCTTAGAAGTTCAGGAAGAATATATTAAAGATGAGCAGCGAAATCTAAAGAAGGAATATTTGCATGCGCAAGAGGAGGTGAAGCGTATTCAATCGGTACCATTGGTTATTGGTCAGTTTCTTGAAGCTGTTGATCAAAATACCGGAATAGTGGGATCAACTACTGGTTCAAACTATTATGTTCGTATTTTATCTACGATTGATCGTGAGCTCCTAAAACCTTCTGCATCTGTTGCATTGCATAAACACAGCAACGCATTGGTGGATGTGCTGCCACCAGAAGCAGATAGTTCAATATCTATGTTGCAGCCTGATGAAAAACCCGATGTAAGTTACGCTGACATTGGAGGTATGGATATGCAGAAGCAAGAAATTCGGGAAGCTGTGGAACTACCTCTGACACATTTCGAATTGTACAAACAAATCGGTAAAAAGTGAGCTCTTAGTGTAATAAATACTTCTAAACATTCTAATTACGTAGGCATTGATCCTCCTCGTGGCGTTTTGATGTATGGACCACCTGGATGTGGTAAAACAATGTTGGCCAAAGCTGTAGCACATCATACGACTGCATCATTTATTAGAGTTGTAGGCTCTGAATTTGTTCAGAAATATCTTGGAGAAGGTCCAAGAATGGTTCGCGATGTTTTCCGTTTGGCTAAGGAAAATGCTCCAGCAATTATTTTCATTGACGAAATTGACGCTATAGCCACTAAACGATTTGATGCTCAAACCGGAGCTGATAGAGAAGTACAACGAATTCTTCTAGAATTGCTTAATCAAATGGATGGCTTTGATCAAACTACGAACGTCAAAGTCATAATGGCTACCAACCGTGCCGATACCTTAGATCCTGCACTCTTGCGTCCTGGTCGTTTGGACAGAAAAATCGAATTCCCACTGCCTGATAGAAGACAAAAAAGGTTAATATTTTCAACTATAACTTCAAAAATGAACTTAAGTGATGATGTGGATTTGGAGGATTTCGTAGCACGTCCAGACAAAATATCTGGGGCTGATATAAACGCAATTTGTCAAGAAGCTGGTATGCATGCTGTTAGAGAAAATCGCTATATTGTGTTAGGAAAAGACTTTGAAAAAGGTTATAAAAATAACATCAAGAAGGATGAGCAGGAACATGAGTTCTATAAATAAGCATTTTTTTTATATATATATCGAGTCATGCAAATAAACTATTGTCTTAAAATTTAAAAAAATTCTTGTAACATTTGTGGGGGCCACAAAAAATGTAAGGTATAGCTCAAGATTTTACTTAAATATAAAACATCTTTTAGTATTCAGATTGTGATTTTTGATCATTGAATCATAAAATACATAGAAATCTTGCATTAATTTTGGTACACCCTTTACATATGAAAACAAAATACAGTACTTTTTAAATTCAGAAATTCAGTTCGATTTAACGTTAAAAAATTGAAATCTGCCTGTGCCGAATAGTCAAGACTACTGTATTGATTGTACGATCATCTTTCATCCGGGAGGTTATGAAAAAATCGATTAGCCGTTCGGAGGTGTCTTAATATAAATTGCAATTAGGTTTTAAAGGCCATTCAAAGAGGTGGTTACTGTCTCATTGGGTATGTCGGGGACAAGTTTAGATAAGTAGTTCACTTCCTTATTGCCGGCCGCATAGGTAATGACCGCCAGGCCAATGGCTTTGTTGATTGCCAGAAAGGTTTCTTTGTCTCTACCCCAGGTGCTGCAGGCTTGCACTTTGAGCATTTTGTTGCTGCTTTGGAATTTTGCGGCAATTGCGGTCGTATGCGGAGTAAAGGAGTATAGGCTATCAAAAGTGACCCCCGGTAACTTTGGGTTACTAGTTTTGATCGGTTGCAGTGCGGATGTGGGATAGGCCGTCGAGATAGACGTTTACTTTCGTACAAAAATCCTGAGTTTTGAGGGCTTACCTCGAAATTCTACCGATGATTTACGACCACTCAGGTAGTCCATAACCCATCTCTTCTACTCCGGCGGTAATGAGAACTCCTCAATATCCGATGGTAGCACTGAATGGTTGACGGTGTCAACCGCCATATATGGTTGAGACCATTGACTATCTGAGTGTTTATGGCGTTGAGTGCAGTTGTGGTGCTGTGCACTTTGCGGAAGCCATGCTGATGTACTGGTGGACTAAGATGGTGAGTGAACATCGGGAGCAGTAAGGCCTCAAGTGTCTTAACTACTGGGGAGAGGAGCGATACCGTCCGATATGACTCTTCTTTGTTGGCTGGCGATACCACCTTGCATATTTTCCACAAATCGGGTATCCCTGGGGAAATAAAGATTTGCGCCGGTGCCAGCTTGATGCAGTGTTAAAAGTTGGCTAAAATAGATCGCGCATACCGTCAGGTCTGACGATGCCTAATAAATATGATCAGATTTCTACAATTCGGCCAGTCGGTATGAACCGGGAGGCCGCGGATACGAACATTTTTCTGAATATGCGTTCACCTTTGATTGCGTCGGTTGAAGCGTAAGAGCACTGATTTCGTTATAGCTTAAGGTACTTTGCTTTTTTGGGCAAGTGGTCAAATGCTAGTGTAAGCATGGGTCTCCATGGTATGCTCTTTAACAGACCAGCACTCGCAATTGCAAATATCAGTCACTTGAAATAATGTTACCTGTTGACCTAAACGTGATTAAGTCGTCGAAACGGCGACAGTCCTTGGCCGGATAAAATCCGGGTTGACTTATGTGCGTAGAACCGGCATTCTGGCCTCCACCAAAAGAAGTTTCCTCAATTTCATGAGCTGATGATTGCACGATATTGGCATCAGGCCAAGTTATTGATTACCTCTGTTCAAAAGTGAACTGCTATCTTGCCGACCGGTCCCACTTATTCACTGAATGACAGCTTAAAATTTAATCCACTAAGTCTTCGGCGACCCTTTTTACCAGCTGGACGAAGGAATACAGTCTCAAATTAGATTTGAAGGTCGATGACGGGAAAACTACGATATTAGGAGTCACACAGCCTACACTCCTTCACCCCGCATACGACCGCAATTGCCGTAAATCTCCAGAGCCGCGACAAAATATTCAAAGTGCTAGCCGACAGCACCTGGGGTAAAGATAAAAAAGCCTTGCTGGCGACTTATAAAGCAATTGGCCATCCGGTCGTAAGCTGTGTGGCAACGATTTGAATTTAAGTGAATTAGTTTCCGAAATTGAGAGATTGGCTAACTTGGCGATTGAAAGCCCATATGGGGAACAACTCGGAAGGGTAAAGATAGAGAGGTTTATCAGTAGAGTAAATAATATATACATCAAGGGAAAGGCGTACGCGAATCAAAAGTCAACGATTTCTGAAACTCTTGCATATGCTCAGACACATGCAACGGCGGCACTCCTAAGCAGACCCACTTACATAACAAGCTGGGTGGAGGTGGAAACTCCAGACGCGACAAAGGAGTTGCTGGATGCGCTGATATTCCTCAAGAATGGAAAGATTTAAAGGAAAAGCTTTATTTGCACTGCTCCTATGCTAGAGCACCCGGTTCAAGTTGCAACATTTGCTATAGATACGGATACTCAGGGGTATCAAAGATTTCCAAAATTATCTATGCGTGCAAAATTTTATAACTGAATGCAGCGCTGAAGTAACTACTTTAGCTTAAGAATCCTGAGTGAGAAAACCCGCAGGTGTCGGGAAATCATTTAGGCGGAAATAGTATTACTCGATTAGTTGGTTGGATCAGCTGGGATAAAATATAATATTTTGGTATTGGTATAGCAGTACTAATAAAACTTTTTTGGTAAATCCCTTCTGGACCAGGGCTACATCGTAACGATAAATTTCACGTTAATCGAAAAACTTCTATGGTTTCGGTGAACATTTTGGATATATTAATTATTACCGTTTTAACCCGAAACGAAAACCTGGCGTTAATGTTAAATCGTCAACAGACGTTAAAATTAAATTGTGCTGTTAAACCATAGCAAGTAACTAATTACAGTTAGCGTTGGGTTATTCGGTTTCAACTTTAGTGATTTCCCTTCGTTTTGAAAAATTGCACACATTTTGTGCTAACAATTTGAAAACTTTTCCTCTTTAAGCGCCTTTCTAAAATATCGTGCACCTGGTCTTTGTGCATTGAATCATGCTCAAAAATATTTTGTGTGGTTAATGTTATAATAGTATTTTCGAAAGATATCAAAATTTTAAATAAAATTTTATACTCGGATTTCAAAATAAAGCTCGCAAAGACAACTGGTATAAAAAAATACTTATCGAGAATATGAATGGCAACTCTGTTTTAAGTCGACATTTTGACGAAGATTAACTCGTTCGATATTTACACGCTGAGTACATAAATATTTTCAATGTAATTCATTCAATGTATTCTGCTAAACGAATAATTTTTTTTTAATTCTAGAGGATTTGTGAGATTATAAATAATTAAAAATGGTTGTTTTTGTTAAAGAGACTTTGACTTAGCAAATGTCTAGAACGGATTTAATTTTGTGTGTGTGCCAGGAGGCTTCGCCGTAGCCCTTTGAATGTGGTCGCCGCTTTTCTCGCTACACTGCCATATCCTTTGTGCTTGCGTGCTTGTTACGCATCGATTTGTGTTAAACATTAGATACCACCTAACAATCTTTAGGGTGTAGTGGTTTACTTTGAAATGTAATGTTTGAATATGAAAATTTTTGTGAAAATAATGTTCTTCATTAAAAGGCGGCATATAATAAACGAAGAAAACTAGACTTGAATATCTTCTAAGCTCTTGTTTACTGGTGAGTTCCTGATAAATGTACAACATCCCATTGTATATTAGATAGATGTGGAAATTTACAAGTTAAATTTTGTATACGTATTATGTATATACGCCTCTATGTGCCTTTATATATTTTTCATGGACAAAAAAAAATCATGCAAATGTAAAAGATCTGAACAGAAATCACAACTGAAGTAAAGAGTAAATTATGTACTATTAAAAAAGATCAACAAAATTTACAATAATTCTTTGCTGCTAATTTTTTTTCCTGCGTACAAATCTCAACATAATATAAACTCTTACTGCATTAATAGGAAATATCATTCAACCCTTCTCTACGTGGAGTCGGGAGTGTCCTTAAAATCTCAAAAAGTCACAGTTTTTTTTTTATTAAAATTTTAAAGCAAACTGATTTAGTTAAGTTTTATATATTCCAAAAAGGGGTGATGCATGGGTTGCAAGTAGAATATAAACAGCTGTTTCAAATAAACAAAAGTGAATTTGTTTTCGGGGCAGGTTATTATTTCAAATTTTGAATTGATGTGATACCCTGTGGACTATTATAATCAAAAAAATTCGAGCTGGCATTCAAACAAGCTTCTGTGGTCACACATGTAATAGCCACTTAATTCTGATAAACTTATTATGAGCGAATTATAGATCTTCGTGAGCTAAAAAAGCAGGGCAAATTAGAAATTATAAACATGTTGGTATATATTTTAAAGGATTTGCTTATTTGAAATAATGAAAGAGATGAATAAAAATATGTAAGAATTATAACAGATTCTCGTTTTTGTATGCATACGTTTAAATTAAAAGCAAAAAGGAAACTAAGTTTTATAAAAATATTTGATAAAGAGAAGAATTATGAGCTTCAATATAATCAGTATCTAAATCATTTGGTTTTTTAAGCACAAATTCCAATAAATGTAGGGGCTTTGGTATAAACTTTCAGTCCCTCCCCGTGTTGGATACTTCAATGATAAGCTTTATCAAGTATAAAGAATTTCATTGCGCCTTCTTGAAAAAGTAAATATTTTGACATTTACTGGCAGCGGACACTCTTTGAGAATTCTTTTCCAATATTAAATCCAATTCATAAAGGTGAGAGCAGGAGAACAAAAACAACAATTACCGTGTATTTTGTTTTTGTTTTCAGTGTAACAATTGTCAAAATCAAGGCGGCAAGTTCATACAATTTTTTTTTTTGTCGAAATGAATAAAATTGATGTCGTTAGCTTTAAAAATCCAAGTTTGCTAATTTAAATTATAAAACTACATTAAAAGTAAAGTAGTTTTCTTTTATGGAGTTATTTCTTACTAGCACCTTCTTTGGAAGGGGAATGAATTAGACTAATACAATAGGCCGATAATCTCTTCAAACAAGACCCCCAAAAAGGAGCCAACCCCTCTTTAAAGACTGCTCAAAGTTCATTAAAAAAGTGGGCCCTCCATTACTATGAGCACCAGTCCGTTGTAGCGTCTTCCTAAGCAGACTGTTCAAATCTACGGTGGCAGGACTATCAGTTATCAGTAGTGAATCCGCTACAACAACAACAACGGTATATTCCGTTAGTTAAATATCTATCATATCTCTACAGGGTAACAATACCACAACAAAAGTGGCTATAAAAAGAAGCAACCTGAACAAACCTGCGGCTAAATGCAATACTACCGTGGCATGGGTACCCAGACACAGGAACGTCCCAAACTATTTCACGGCAAACGAACTTATTAAGGGATGAAGTTTTTTGCCACAAATACAAACATTAGATGGTTGAATGAGATCACGTGCAACGTAACCACACAGCTATGACCAAAATTGGACGCGAAAAATCTAAACATATTATTTTTCCAGACCAGTTGCCTATTATCATAACAGCGGGTGCAATTACAGATAACCGTTCAATAGGACCTAACGGAAAAACAAACTATTATTCCCATGATTGTAGGCGCGTAGAAAGAGTGCATTAAATACTGCTACTTCTTGAATGATTCTCTAAATCAGCTCCGGCAAGAATCGGTTGGTAATCTCGTTGCTTTTAATAGGCACGCGAAATGGCTGAACATATGAGAAGGTGAAGATAAGAGCCTATTGGTCTAAGTGCGTTGGTTAATGGCCGTATCAACTCAAAAAAGTCTAATTTGAAAATTTTAACTTTTTCAATTAGAAATTCAAATTAAATGTAAACAAATAAAAAGCAAAATATAAAAGAAAATATAAAACATAAACAAACATTTTGAATGTCTTTACACTGAAGCGAATCAATTATGAAAAAACAAGGCGAATTCATAAAGGTGAGAGCAGGAGAACAAAAACAACAATTACCATGTATTTTGTTTTTGTTTTAAATGTAACTATTGTCAAATTCAAGACAAATTCATACAATTCGCTGTTGTCAAATTGAATTAATAATTCAAAACAAGTCAGGAAAGATTAGCTAAAAAATCAAAGTTTACTTATTCAAATGCCATCAACAGTAGTTTTATTTTAAGGGATGTTGGGAAATGGCTATAAGACTCAGTTACATTACACAAAATATGCATAGGAGAGAGTTCTACAATTGCTATGGTCATAAGAGATTACTAGGATTACAGCACACCTTTAAGTTCTTGTAACACTGACACAGACAGTTGTTTATTATATAATGGATTATAATGGATTATTGAATAAGTAATTATTCAATGTTAACATTCGAAGGATATCTTAATTTAACCACAGTATATACGTAATTTTCTTTTTAAAAAATTGTATGTGCATATTAAACAACCTTTCTAAATTTTGTCTAAATAATACATAGATGTAGAGCCTTTATTTTGTGGAACTTGGGATCGAACTCCCCTTTCTATGTACATACAGAACCCAGCGAATTGTTTTATTAGGAATCCCAAATATGAGTGAATTGGTGAAAACAAACGCCTTAGATCAAGCAGTCAAACACAACTTTACAAGCGGTTCAAAGATCGATGAAAAAGCGGGTTCTCAATAATGAGATAGCAGTAATATCAGTTATTATAGATTCCGATAGTCAAGTTGCCATCAGATCTCTACAGTGTAACAGTACCACATCCAAAGTGGCTATAAAATGTAGGAGGAATCTGAGAAAACTCTCGACTATATGCAACACTGCTACTCAAAGCAATGGTATGCAGACGAACTAGTGAGAGGGGACCTTCTATCCAAAACAAAGCATATGCAAGATGCAGGTTAACCTTAGTCATGGCAAAGAATATGCAAGGACTTGCCTTTGTCAAAAATGCAAACACTAGTTGGCAGAATGAGATCACATGAAAGTGACCAGATATGGTTTCATAGAAAGATAGGCATTCACTATAATGATTCGTGCCACAGAAGAAGATTATGTAAAACACTAACACTTTTTTTGTCTGTCACGCTGAGCTAGCATCAGCGAAAACTAGGGATCTCGTTGCTTTTATAAAGTTCACGAAATGGTTTGAATATTTGAGAAAGTGAAGTAAAAGCCTCATAATAGCGGTACCAAAATAGGCATATTGCCCTAAGCGCGTTGGTTACTAATTAATAGCCACATCAATTCCACTTGAATCAAAATCGGGACACATTCTTTTATTTGGAAAAAATCACAAATCTTATTTGAAAAATTTCAGGTATACAATAAAAAATCAAAATGTAAACAAACAAAACATAAACAAAATCACTTTGACTATCTTTGCACTGAAGCGAATTAATTAAATGAAAAAAGTTGAATTCGCTGCCCTAGTAACTCCACCATGTTAAATTCGCCTTGTGCAAAAAGTTGAATTCGCAGTTCTAGTAACTCCATCTTGACAAATGCGCCTTGACTCAATCCGTAAAATATTTGCGTATTTGTAGAAATCAAGGCGAATTTATAGAATGCGAATTTTTCACATCATATGATTGCTTGTTCTTCCTGTTTTTTCTAAAAATTACACAAACAAAATGCATGGGAAGTAGGTTTTGACATTACGAACTTTTTATTACTCCAACAAAATGCACTGAGCAATTCTCTTTTTTGACTTTTCGAAATTATGATTACACAAACAAAATACACAAGGCGAATTTATAGAAGGTGAAGTTGTCGCATCATATGATTGCTTGTTCTTCCTGTTTTTTCTAAAAATTACACAAACAAAATACATGAGAAATAGGTTTTGGCATTTCGAACGTTCGTTTACACAAACAAAATACGTTGAACGAGTTTCGTTTTTGACTTTTCGAAACTCTGATTACACAAATAAAACATATGATTCAGCTTGTTTTTGCTACTATTGTGTGCCTTAGACAAATGTACGAATATATTGAATTTTTTTTTAATTTCGAAACGGCAACTAGCGTTTTAATGCGCAGAATTGGGATACTCGAAACGAATTCCCTTGAATTTCTCTTGAGGGCATCACGGGGAAATTTTAGTTTTCAGCCGCAGGATTTCGTAGATTGTGTAGATAGAAAGAGGAAAAAGCCTAGATTCTAAAATTACTTTTCTTTCCTCTAGCTGACTTATACTTCTTTAATAATTCTATATAACTAGTAAAATAATAGAGCCTGTTTTTTTGTATTTTGTTAAAAAATTATAATGATATTCACTTAAAAATTATAAGTCAAGTGAAACTCCTTTGTAAGTTATTCCCTAAGCTCAACTTCCATGAAAAAAAAAAACCAATAGAAAAAGGCTAAAAAGTTTGATTTTAATTTATTCGCATCGGCCGTTGCATCTTAAAGCCGCACCATACCACATATTGGTTTATGGAATTAATTTAGAGATTGTTCAATGTATGGCCAAATGTTTTTTCACAAATCTTCGAGCCTGTTGTTTGGGTTTTTGCTTTCTATGAATGATTTTGCATTCATGCATAGATGCAAGAATGCAATTCTCAAATGATCAGCGAAGTGATACTGCTAAGGTATTCAACGTTTGCAATAGAATTAACCTTATAATGGTCCAGGGCAGATATCATGTTATCTGATCTGTTTGCGTCTTCCCATCCATGCTGCTTGAGTCTGCGCAGCGTCGGGTGCTT